TTTCTGAATTTCAGCATTTCTCGAAATATCACATTTTCTTGGAATTTTAACATTTCAGAGATTTCCGATTTTCTGAATTTCCTGGAATTTCTGAATTTCTGAATTTCTGAATTTCTGAATTTCTGAATTTCTGAATTTCTGAATTTCTGAATTTCTGAATTTCTGAATTTCTGAATTTCTGAATTTCTGAATTTCTGAATTTCTGAATTTCTGAATTTCTGAATTTCTGAATTTCTGAATTTCTGAATTTCTGAATTTCTGAATTTCTGAATTTCTGAATTTCTGAATTTCTGAATTTCTGAATTTCTGAATTTCTGTTCAGAACTTTAGATTTTCCGAATTTCCTGAACTTTCTGAATTGTTAGTATTTCCAAATTTTCTCAATCTCTGAATTTCTGAATTTCAGCATTTCTTGAAATATCACATTTTTTGGAATTTTAACATTTCAGAGATTTCCGATTTTCTGAATTTCCTGGAATTTCTGAATTTCTGAATTTCTGAATTTCTGAATTTCTGACTTCCTAATTCCAGAATTTTAGAATTTCAGATTTTAAGAATCTCAAAATATGTCAGAATTTCCGAAATTCGAAGATTCAGAGATTTCAGAATTTAGTTAGGAATCTCAATTTCCGAATTTTCGATTTTTAGAATTTTCGATATTCAGAATTTCATAACGGTAAAATTACAAAATACTAACCTATCTCCATCTCTAGCTCTCTTAAATTGCTCTCCAATTGCACAACTCAATGTAGTTCCAACCAGTCCTCCAATCACTGGATCCTCCAACATCGATCCCACATAAAAATCAACGTCATCTGAAAAAAATCGGTCTGTTTTTCTGTAAATCCAGATGTCTCACTTGTCGTATTGTAATTCCTAGCGAGTCCAGCTCTCAAATTTCGATCCAAAATCATATCTCCGAAGTCTTCAAAAGTGTTGGCGAACTTCAATCCACAGAATTGTCTCATTTTGTTATAAGACGGAATTCCATGATCTCTTCCTCTTTGGATATTCAACGATCCGAGATCCGTGCTGAAAAACATTTTTATTTTCGCGCCTCTACAAAACAGTTTTTCGATTTTTCAATTTCTTCGAAATTTTCAGAGTGTATAGAACAAAACTAGAGCTTCATTTATTTGGTTGTTGACAATTTTTTCTAGCTACCGTAGTTTTGGAGGTATGCGCCTTTAAAGTAGGCGTGACTCATTTCCCGACGTCCGAGGGGAGATGAGGCTCGCCTAATTTAAAGGCGCATATCCCAAAAACTACGGTAGCCAGAAGAAAGTGGTCAACTACAAAATTGAAGCTATATTCTTATTTTGTATAACTCGAAAATTCCAGAAAAAAAATCAAATCGAATGGAGGGAAAATTCAACATTTTCGAAAGCAAACAACTCATTTTCGTCAACCTAAAAACTTAAAGACATTTTTTGCCGATTTTGTTTCAAAATTTCGCTAAAACTCTAAAAAATATTTTGCAAAATTGTCAAATATGCAAAATATTTCATTTAAGTTTTTCACTTTTCTCCATTTTTGGACATTTTTAGAGTTAAACTTTATCAATTCTATGAAGATGTTTTAAATCCAAGGTGAGTAGGGACCCTTCAACTTCAACCTACTTTTTCTGGATTCCTGTAGATGATATCAAATAGTTGTCAGCTAGCGAAAAATTTGCGAATATATGATAAACTATTTATCAGTTGACTATTTTTTGGTATCTCTCACAGGAACCGAGATGAATCGGATCAAAGTTGACGCTTTTGACAGCGTACCCCGGAGTTTCGCCGGACGGTATGTGTCCAAGCTGATAAATTCAGGTTTATATTGACCCGATTTTTTAATATTTTTAGTGGGTCCCTTACACTTAGAAACACCCAAAAAGATTTAACAACCTCCAAGGAACAATAATTAGTTCCAGAATGTTCCCCATAAATCAAACAACCCCATAAAAATACCTTCCAAACATCTTCTCAGTAATCGCCGGCGTCATTCGATGTGGTCGTTTGACAGCAGTCGTCATAAATCCGCGAATAATTGGATCGACACCTCCTTCAAACAGAATCTTGCCCGATTTGAATACTCCATCGCCAAAGAAGAACCCGCCATGAGTAATATTATTTCCAGATAGATCAACTCTCTTGTAGAACTCCTCAATCATTCCATGACCGAATCGAAAAGCGGAAGTTGTGAATTCATTGGCAATTGTGGCATCCACATTAGTATCATAACCTTTGTATGGTCCGATCACTTTGTCAAATGACACTCCTAGAAGTTTCGGGAGGTATTCCTTATAAAGAACGTTTTGGATTTGAGCGCCAACAATTTTCCTAGCTTCCTGGAAGACTCTATCTCCAGACCATGTTGGATTGAGCTCGGTTAGCTTTTGAGCAATTCTGTTATGCTCTCTGGCAAACATTATATGAAGGGAAGACAATCCAATGAAGAGATTGGCTCGGATATCTCCCGCAGTAAAGGAGGCGGTACATTTATCCTTATTAGCACATTTAGACTGGTCGAATGGAAGAACATTCTGGTTATTGAATCTAGTAACTCTCAAGAATCCAGTCCTTCCATCTCTGAACTTATGAAGATCCTTTAATGAAGATCCATAAATCATAGATCCATCAATATAAGCTGTATTCTCATTGAGTTGCTCTCTGGGCTCCACTCGACAAATTGGGGCGGATCTTGAGACTTTCAGACATTGTTTCGATTTGAATCCAAGATTTGGGTCCTTTTCTCCGATTGGGATTGGCATGCATTTCGATGGGACTGGATCACAAGTCTTGCAGTTTGCCGATGGTTGAAGTGTGGTTTTGGACATGTCATGCGACATGAATTGACCCCATTGCATCATCATGTTGTTGAACTAAAAATTGAAATTGTTTCCTTTTTTCTGATAGTGAAGTTTAATAAATCAGGGGCGAGTAGATCAAAATAGCAACAACGACCTTTCGTTGAAACTCGTGATGTTTGTCTAGACCATTGAAAACATGTGAAGAAGATTTTCGGAATTTGGAGGTCTCATAGAAGCGCTCTGAGAAATTGAGCTACGCGGTTATTATGCTTCTCTGCGTCTCAAAAACTTGTTCAGAACTTTAGATTTTCCGAATTTCCTGAACTTTCTGAATTGTTAGTATTTCCAAATTTTCTCAATCTCTGAATTTCTGAATTTCAGAATTTCTCGAAATATCACATTTTTTGGAATTTTAACATTTCAGAGATTTCCGATTTTCTGAATTTCCTGGAATTTCTGAATTTCTGAATTTCTGAATTTCTGAATTTCTGAATTTCTGAATTTCTGAACTTCTGAATTTCTGAATTTCTGAACTTCTGAATTTCTGAATTTCTGAATTTCTGAACTTCTGAATTTCTGAATTTCTGAATTTCTGAATTTCTGAACTTCTGAATTTCTGAATTTCTGAATTTCTGAATTTCTGAACTTCTGAATTTCTGAATTTCTGAACTTCTGAATTTCTGAACTTCTGAATTTCTGAATTTCAGCATTTCCTGGAACTTTCGAAATATTGAATTCTCCAATTTTCATGTTGAACTACCAATTCGTAAATTTCAGAAAATTGGAATTTCAGAATTTCAGCAAATTTTAGAATCTGAATTGTGAAAAGTAAAAAAAGTTTCAGAATTTTTATGGTTTTTAGTTTCAAAACATTCTTCTATTTTGAAGTTTTCTTTGAAAATTGAAAACATTCAGAAAATTGAAATTTCAGAATTTCTTTATAACTTTTTTTCTTTAATTCTTTGCACCCCGGACCATCAAATTTGAGCCGATTTTTTTTCAATTTCTATGGATGATATTTAAATTGTCAACTAACAAAATATATTTGAAACCATTCTTAACATTTTATCCGTTGATTAGTTTTGATACCTTTCTCATGGACCGAGATGAGTTGATTTTTTTTAGACTGCGGTACTTTCGGATAATATTTTCAAAAAAATCTCACCTTATCATGTACCACCGATTGAGCAGATGACAACATAACACGATTAGCTTCGCGAGCACTTGGTCTAGACTTGTTCAAAGAAGAAATCGGTTCGCCTCTTCCATCATCATACTGCGCTGGGAAGTGTCGATTGAACCTTCTGAATGCAGCTCCTTGCATTGGCTTCTCCAAATTATTACATGTTCCATCAAGAGTACGATACATGAGATGATAACAGAGACTCTTTCTACAATCCACTCCAACGTCAGATAATTGAGGAACACATCCAGTTGGCACACTTCTCGTGATGTCGTCAATGGAGAGCATGTTACGGCCAAAGTTATCTTCTACCGGATTGATTAAACGAGAGATTGACATAAGCTGCAAAATTGGAAGATTGTTGTTGAACGTTGAGTTTGATTGTGCTTAATTATCTCAACTTCATTAAGAGATATCCAAAATTACAAGCTATAAAAAGGTTTGTGATATTATGAAAACCATTTTATCAGTTTGCAGATTTCTGGTATCTTGTATGAGAACCGAAATAATTGAGCTTGAAGTGATGAGCTACGGGATTGAAGACCGTGAGTTGCGATGATAGTGGATTTTTTACTGATATTGAGTTTGGGCTTTGCACAACTCGTTTTCATTGTAACCCATGCCATTGCTCGTCAACCGTGTAGCTCATCCGACAAGCTAAATTATCTTGGTTCCCATAGCAGATATTCAAAAACTGACAACTAATAAAATGTTGGTAATATTATTCTGAACATTTTATCAGTTGACAGAATTTTGATATATCTTATAGTAACCGAGATAATTAAGCTCAAAGTGCTTCAGAGCATTTACGGTAAATGATGTTTCAGTGATTCGAGGTCTTGTCGGGGGGTCACAAATTGCTCATATTTTATATATTCTACTGTGTAGCTTAAAGGAGGCCAGACATGAAAAATTTTAAAGTTCTAGTTTTTTGATATATGACACGGTACAGTCAGAAAATATGTATGGTCACCCAACCATAACTCCATGTTGCCGTACAAGCGAGAACGCGAACGTTCTTCCAAGCGGCGGCACACTCCTCGTTTCATAACCGTTTTAGCGGCAGCCGACGGCAGGCGCCGTTTGGTGTAGAGCACAGGTCCTGGGCGCGCATACGCATAATGGATGGGCGACGGAGGACGCGCCGATGAATTGGGTACAGGGAAAGGGCGCCGATATGAGGCATATACGGGGCATATGGGGCACACCGCCGCCGCAAAGCATCTCCTCGCCTGGCTTGCTGGCACTCGATGAAATGAACTAAAACGTTGGTTGGGGGTTCCTAGAAGTATCAGTTAAATTCTATTGTGATGTGATTTTGTTCAGGTCTTCCGATTTCGTACTTTTCCTTTATTATTCCATATTTTTTTATATTTTGACTTCATATTTTAAAAATAAAATCAAAAACAGAAGAAAATGGGAAAAAATTCGCTAAAAATTGTTTCTTTTTTTCATTTGTTCAAAAAATATGTCTCACTTTCACTTTTTTTGAAATTGCATGAAAAAAATTGAACAATTTTTGAATTTACACTTTGTAATTTTTGTATACTTACCAACTTACCTTTTATTCCACCTGAAAATACGATTTTTACATTAATTACAAAGTGAAATAAAAAAAATCTCAATATCACCTATTTTGGCGAAAAACATAGCAATTAACGAGTGAAAGACATGTTTCTGCAAGAATTCAGCGATTTTTTAGTCTGCCATAACTCTTTTTCACAAAAAACATCGAAGGAATAATCGAAAAACCAGCAATGTAGGCTCGAATTGACGAAAAGTTGGGGGAACGACGTTCGAACTGGTAAGGAGTCGAACTTGTAACAGTTCGATTCTGTCCGCGTTCTGTTCTGGTACGTGTGCGAAAAAATGACTGTTCTGAATTGAATCAGTTCGATTCTAGGTCTGTTCGATTTTGAAAACGTTCGAATTCGTCGTACCCCCGAAAAATTGACAAAGTTGCCGGTGTGGATTTACGGTAAACAATGCGCGCATCCGGGATTTCGGAGTGTTGTAGTCGGCCTACCGTATATCGCGTAACATTGAAGAAATTTAGTGTGTACTAAAAAAAAATAAATGCTCGTCAAGTAGCGCGCATTGGTCGCAATCGCACACTTTCCGTCAGAATGCATGATCTCGCCCCAAGAAAACCCCGTAGACTTTCGTGTCTGGCCTCCTTTAATAATTAAGCACACCTAGTAGTTAGGTACAAACTTTGTTTCAAATTTATACTAAAAAGTTCAAAGTGTTATATGTATCATTTTTGTCCGGTACTGGACATGGTCTAATAGAATGCTTCCCTATCTATACTTGCATACTTTGAGCTGCAATAGCTCAGTACTCGTAAGAAATAGCAAAGATTGGTCAACTAATAAAATGTAACCCATTTTATGATAAACATTTTATCAGTTAACAGATTTTTGATAACTCTCATAGGGGAGTAAAAAGTGGCAAGGACTACGGTACTTACCTCTGACGCCTGAGCAATGCTGTCCTTGACTCTTTCACAACTGTTCACTGGTGTTAAGCTAGATGGTGGAATTGTGACTGTCGTCGTTGGTCCCGATGAAACTGTCGTCGTTTGGACGAATCCTCCATTTGATTGTTGGAATGAGGAAGCTGAAAAATGAGAGTTCAGGAAATTCTGATCTTTAATTCCCTTGAAATTTTTAGGATACCTAGCTTTTTAGATTCTTAGATTTCCAGATTCTTAGAGTCTTAGATTCTTAGATTCTTACAGTCCCTTGAGAATGCCCTCAAAGAGTGTGATCCTACACCATTGAAAATTGCTTTGAAAATTCATTTTTATGATTTTTTTAAACCCCCCCCCCCCACCTTCAATTTCTTCAAAATACATATAAAAACATACACATCTGCCAAATAGTTGTAAAAAAACGGGAAAGATTGCTTTTGTATTTTCTAAATCCCCACATCTATCTAAATACCTGGTTTTCTTCCAATTCTTCTTGTTCTTAAAGTTGTAAATTGTACGCGTCCACCACATACAAATGTTCCAAGTCATTCTACCGTATGATTATACTCTCTAATAAGATTTTGTTTCTAGAAAAAGACGAAGAAGAAGCTAGTTCAGTTTACATCCCCCCTCCTCCGATTCTTCTTTTCTTTGCGAATTTTCTGTAGGTCAAAAAAAGAGGAGCGTGCGGTGGCAGGCGCGGTGATAACCCGCTTTGTGTATACATTTCATGGTCAGTAAAAAGACAAAGAGGGTCACCTGATGATTAACATTCTTATCAGATACCATTTTTTTTCGGTGCTTACCAGTTGTCGTCACAGGAAGCAGAGGTGCGGGAGGCGCTGAACAGGTTCCGCATGCCAATTGACAATTCTCCGACATCCAATCTTTATTGGCCTGGAAAGTTTGAGGTCTTGGGGTCAAGGGTCTGTATTTTTGTTCTTTAAAGGGTCGAAGCCGACTCTGTAACCACTGAGCTAAGCCGGGGCTCAGTCGCTTGTCCAGGAGCTTCAGAAGGCAGGGAAACGGTAGAAAGTTTTGACAGTTCTAGATAAAGATAAAGGGCTTAAAGAGGTTCGTCAATCTAAATACGTTGGCTATCAAAAAAAACTACTGATCAATATTAAAGTTTTTTGAGAAATAAAAAGGTACTTCAGGAAATAAATATTTTCAAACTTTAAACTTGGCGCCATTTTCGGGACGTCCCATCCGAAGGAAAGCATTTTTCAGGCTAGATGGAGCCTATCATTGGTTGATAGCCGGTTTTGTAACCGTGCAGCTTAATTGATAACTGCGCAGAAATCCCGAATATTTGTCCCACAAGTAAACTTTTAACTGTTTCATCTCAAAAGTACCAGATCCTCTTTATCATTAACCCTGTTTCAGAATGATTCGCTACTTCGAGCCAATATATCTAGATAACTGTAAGAGATATCAAAAAGTTGTTAACTGACAAAATGTTTCCCATGATATGCAAAATATTTTATTAGTTTCCCACTTTTTGATATCGTTTACAGTAACCGAGATAAATTGACCTAAATATGTGTTCTTTATCATAGGCGCCAATTTATTTGTTATCAGAACAAGGACCTCTCAGAAATTTAGGATTTTTCTCGAAAAAACAGGAAGGTTTTAGGTCAAGGTGTTCAGAATGTTTACACATATTCCTTTATCAATAAATTGACCATAAATCAGGAATAATTGGGTCAAGGAACCCTAGAATTGGTTTTTCTACCAAATTCACATGATTTTTGGCCACAGAAAGATATATTTTTGGAATTGAATAACAACATATTTCTGGTCAATTTCCTGGTTACAGTTATCATAAAAGGGAAGAAACAAATCAGAAATCAAGGAAAATGATAATGAGTTCGGATTTATGGAGTTATCAAAAACTTGCATAACTTTCAGAGCTTTAGTCAAAGGATTTTTGAAAAAAAAGCCATTGAATCGAAATCATACAACTTATGGTGGTTTTCCAAAAAAATTTCACATAGCTTTTGGTTGTTTTTTTTTTTGAAAATTTCTTTTTTTCAAATCATTAGAGATTTTGATTAAAATAGAGGAATTATGAATTTTGAATTCTTCATAGAACTCTCAAAGTTTTAATTTTCAGAAACAGAATATCAATTTATCCAAATTCCTTTTTTTTCCAAAATCAAGTTGAAATTCAATTTTATGATCTTCTGGTTCCGTGTAGCCAGTATCAAATTAACCATGAATGACCCCTTTGAGTCATTAAAAAATTCGGAAATCATCAAATTTCGATAGGTTTTTGATTTCTAGTAGAGAGGAATGAGGAAATTGAATCGGATACATTTTTATAGGGTTTCGAATTTGTTACTATCAGGTTTTTGATCACTTTAAATCATTTTCGGAAAGAGATGTTTTGGTGGGAATTTGAAAAGATTTTAAGGATTTTTAGAAATTATAATTTGAAGAAAAACTCACATTACACTCTCCAATTGAAGCCCAAAACCGACACCACTCGTGATGATCACAGCAGCCATTTGTAAGGCATTTAAATCGATCCGTTATCGGTGGACTCAGCATTTGTGTGTCTATTCTGACATCTGGAAATTTCGAATTTTAATTTTAGATCAATTTATGGAATTTTGGGGTTTTGAATTCTATAAATGTCTAAACAATATGCTGAAGTAACCTTTCAAAGCTCAAATATCAAGGAAACTGAAAAATCTAAATTTCCGAAACGGCTTGAAAACGTCCCATCAATAAAAGCACATATCTCAAAGAACAAAATACGAGCTTCAATTTTGCAGTTAGCAACTTTTTTTTCTAGCTACGGTAGTTTTTGAGATGTGCACCATTAAAGTTTCCGCGATATTTCTAAAGGCTCAGAGAAGCGACAATATTAAAGGCGCATATCTCAAAAACTACTTTAGCCAGAAAACAGTTGTCAATTACAAAATTGAAGCCCTATATTTGTTATATATTGTCACCAATTTTCGGACCAACCTGATGAAAATGAACTAATTTTTCAGATAGTCAAACTTAGTTGTCCGATCGTTAGGCAAGTTTCATACGTTAATGAAGACAACTGAGAAAATTTGTAAAAATAATATATTTCAGGTATCAACGCCTGCTTTATTTTTGTCCCGAAGTTTCTGAAAATTTCAGAGTATACAAAACAAAACCTAAGCTTCTAGCTACCGTAATTTTTTAGATGTGAGCCTTTACAGTTTCAGCAAAATTTCAAAGGCGGTGCGAGAAGAGGGCGCTAACTTCAAAGACGCATATCTCGAAAACTACTGAGTTGTCAACTACAAAGTTAAAGCTCAGTTTTTGTTTTGTATACTCTAAAATTTTACGAAATGTCGGAGTAACACTAAAACATGTAAAATTCCGCGAAACTTCAAGGGCCGTGGGAGAAGAGGAGCGCCAACTTTAAATGCGCATATCTCAAAAAGCAAAAAAAGCTACAAAACAGTCGTCCACTACAAAATTGAAGCTCTACTATTGTTTTAAATGCTCACAAAATTTCAGATCCATCCGATAAAATTAAACCACGGTAAAACCTGTATTAGAAGGGTTGGCTTTTCAAATTTTCCAAGACCCTGTTTCCAAGATCCGAGAGAGGGCCTTTTTATTAGAGGGCCCTTTTAATACAGGTTTAACGGTATTTTCGTGATAGTCAAAGATGTCCCATTTGCAAGTAAAATTATTTTTCTTGAAATTTTTAAGTTTTTCTCTCTCCCTCCAAGATGTTTTCCGTCAGCCTTGTTCCCACTAATTTTCAGAAGTTTTAAGATTAAACCGAACTTTCATTTTCCCCTATCTTGTTCAAGACTTTTCCCTTACAAAAATTTTAAGGTTCAAGACGCAGTTCATATACACAAAACCCCGCTCTCATCTAACTTCCCATTACACCTCACGCCAATAAATAAGTTTCCTAACCTTGGGTTCTAACCACTTCTTGCTGTTCCGACAAGTACATTCTCTTGCAAGAGAGATACAAAAAAAACGGCGGCGCAGAAGGAAAAGAAGAAAAGCGAAACGAAACGAAAAGAATAACATAACAATACCCTAATTTGGGCTTTGTCTACTTCGTTTTTCAGGCGGTAGTAGCTTTGAGAAGAAGAATAAGTGGCTATTATTATTATTATGTACAGAAAATGACCCCTTTTCTAGAACTTTCCATCGCAGACGATTCTAGAAAATGCGTACAAATTGTAACGTCAAGAAGGTGGCAAGTTTCAGGGAGTTATAGGTCATTCACGAGACTCCCGAAGGGGCGGAAAGGAGGGAGAGGGGGGGGGGGAACTTCTAGACGCCACTTGCTCTTTGAACCAATTGCAGCCCAATTATCTCGGTTGCTATGAGAGTTATAAAAAATTTGTCAACTGATGAAATGTTTATCATAACACCACCTAACTTTTATCGGTTGACAAAATTTTGATAGCTTTTTTAGAAACCGAGATAAATTGGGTTAAAGTTTGGGGCAGCTTTTTCCAAGGGTATCTTCAGAGAATGGCCCATAACTTGCTTCAGGCTCAATTTTCAAAATTATTTTGAAAGTAAATTATAGCACTTAAAAAGTTCTTTAAAATAATATTAACTTTCAATTTGCCGGCTTAGCTACACGATCGCGATGTGCATGTTATTTGGAAGATGTTATTGGAATTGGACTTTCCAGCTAGATAAATTCGAACGATTTTACAGACCCCCTTTTCTGTTTGAAAATGTACCGAAACCCAAAAATGAAACCAAATTTTATCTAACGAGTTGATCGAATTAGGAAACTAGTGACCGATAATAATGACCAAAACAACTGTTTCCCTTTTTTTTACACTTCCAAAACAATTTTTGTTGTTGTTCAGAGGGGAAATTAGTGTATGTTTCAAAGCGTCAGCTGGACACTCCGAGAAAAGCGATGATCGGCAAAATGAGATAAGAAACTGGACATTGTTTGGTCTGAAAGTCAAGATTCCAGAATTTTTTTTTCAAAAAAGAAGAAGATTATCTATGCGTAAATATTGACAGCTGGGAAAATTACAAAATAACTGTGAAGATGAGATAATTTAGGTGGAAATGCCTGCTTCAATATTAGCTCAAAATTTCAGAGTATTTCTAAACTTTAATTTTGTAGTTTGCAACTTTTTCCTAGCTACCGTAGTTTTTGAGATATGCGCCTTTAAAGATGGGGCGCCTCTCTTCTTTCTTGGGCGATGGGAACAGAGGCGCGCCAACTTCAAAGGCTCACAACTCGAAAACTACGGTAGCTAGAAAAAAGTTGTCAACTATAAAAACAAAGCTCTAGTGTTTTGTTTTCTACACTTTTAACTTCTCAAAGTGATGGAAATAAATTTAAAGCTATTTTGTAGCGGCAAAAAGAAATTCAGAAACTTGGAAACCAATGCATCAAGTTTCACTACCCATGGCTTATTTCTTCAAGGATAAAATTTCGAAAAAAGTTGTCAATTACAAAAATGAAGCTCTATTTTTGTTTTCTATATTCTGAAGGTTTCAGAAAAATTTGACAATTTTAAGAGGTTTTTTTGCGAACCTTAAAGTTTGGCACATTCAAGTCGACAGTAACTTGCCCGCATGTTTAACAGCCCCGGTGGAGAATGCGTATTTACAAAAACTGTTTAATTTTATGTTATGTTAAAGAAAATGGCAAGATCTATATTTTACATTTTTAATAATTTGAAAATATTGAGTTTGAAGCGAGTTATGAACCATTTTGTAAAGCATACCTTGGACTCGCTTTGAAAGACTACATTATGTTTGACCTAATTTATCTCGGTTACTGTAAGAGATATCGAAAAGTAGTTAACTGATAGAATGTTTGTCATAATATTAGCTACATTTTAACAGTTTACAAAAGTGAATTTCTCTTATGGGAGCCGAGAAAATTGAGCTCAAAGTCGAAGTATAGACGAGGCGTTAACCTTTAGAGTAATTTTAATTATCAATAGGGCCCACTTTTCAGAGACCGACATTCTTTCACAATTTTCTCTATGAAATTCAAAATATCAAACTGTGAAATCACCAAGTTCAAACACTCAAATTTTATCCTAAATGAAAAGTTGCCAATCTCAGAAATCCATGCGTTTCTCTTCCCGAAAACTTTCTCACCCCTATCCCTACGCTTCTGTTACGTAACGTCTTCTCTTCCGAATTCACTCTCCCGAGAACCGATGATTGGCCATTTAACTATGCGAACGACTACTAGCCACCCCTTCCGATGGATGCCCATGTCCCTTATCAAAATGTTTCTTGTCCTGAGAAACAGAGACAGATAGATAAGCTTATCCTTTTTCTCTAACCCACTCTCTCAAATTGCAATACTATTTTGCCTAGAGATAAAAAACGAAGACAGAGAGGGGGTATATTATTGCGCAACGTCGCTAGATCTCTCTCCAAAGCCCAATCGATCGGGATTTGATGATGATGAAGAGGTGGCGCGGGTGAATTCTACGGTACTGAACCGAAATGAGACACCGAACAAAGAGACATTTTGGGGCAGGAGAGGCAAACTGGTAGAGACAGAGAAAATTGATGACGTTTTGGATTAGCCTCTGGGGAGCGAAAAGATCCGGTAAAAAAGAAGCAACCAGAAGACATGAAGGTGTGAAGGAAAAGAAAGAAGGATGGCAAATGAGCCGTGAACATATAGGAAGGAAGGAAGAAGCTAAATTTTTTTTACAAAGGAAACTCTGGGAGACAACAGGAAGATTACAGATCTCTATAGGGAATCTTCTGGAACTTCTGGAAGACTAACGACATCCGGACGAAAGGGAAAACATGAGGCTATAATAAAAAGAAGATATTGAGACTAAATGGAAGCTTACAGTTTTTAAAAACTTGAAAAAAATTTTGATCTAGCTGTGCAGTCTAAAAAATTCAGAGACCCGGACAAACAGACAACTTTAGAAAAGCGGTGCTAAGGATTCTAAGGATTTCTGAACCAACTGAAAAGCTTAAGTTTCACTTGAGCTTCAAAAATAAGGACCAACTGAAAGATTCAGTAGTTTCAACGACTTACAAAAATGATTCCAATATTTCCCTCTTGACTAATTCAAAATGTCGAACGTTGGTGTAAAAAAGGAAGCTACGCAGTTATCATATTATCACAAAAAGCAAAACTGCAGATAAAGAAGATTTCTAGAAGGTTAGAAGATATATGAGGAAGAAGAAAAAAGTTGTATAGAGAGGTGTAAATTATATTCTAGCTTAAAATACTCACCATTTAAAATCGCAAAAACCAAAAATAAGATAGTAAAACGGTTTCGATGAAGTCTTCTCATGTTCTTCCTCTCTCCAGAAGTGGCAGTATAATGTCGGAATGATGACCGGTGGTGGTTGGGAAAAGTAAAGGAGATGGGGTTGGAGAGAGGGGGAGGGGTCGAGAATGTGTGCGTGTTTCAGAAAAGATAACAGAGGTGGAGGGGGGCGGAGCTTGGGTATATGGGTAATGTACAAGTAGAGTAGAATAACCTTGGGGTCTTTTTCCTTTTTCTAACGCCTTCTCTCTTCTTCTTCAACGCAATCGAAACACAACCGAATCGTCAGGGGTTGGTGGTTGCGTGAGAGACGATGCTTCGCTGATGATGCTTTTCCCAAAAAAGGCAACAAGCGAGCGAGAGAGTACTGAGGTCTAGAAGAGACCAGGCAGAGATGGCATACAGATTGGGCGGGAACCCGCATGGGAAGTAGTGAGAGGAGGAGGCGATGAAGCCGCCCTCCCCCGCGACGATATGCCATGTTTCCGTGTTTTTTTCCAAAAAGTTAAGCGTGTGAAGGATTTAGAGATAGATATTGTTGTATATGGGATGGCAAATGGCAATTGGGTGGATCGTTCTCATACACATTCATTAATATTATAAGGTGTTCTGGAAAAGGACCCCATAAGTTTGACTCGATTTATCTCGTTTCCTGTAAAAGATACCGATAATTGGTCAACTGACAAAATGCTTGTTATATTAACAGTAACATTTCATCAGTTAATTCCTTTTTGATGTCTATCACAGGAACCGGAAAAAATTGTCAAGGTTAGAAGTTCCTTCTGTGTCATACTTGCGACATAAGGCCCCTCTAATTTTGAGTCAACTTATCTCGTTTCCTGTAACAGATATCAAAAAGTTGTCAACTGACAAAATATTTCTCATAATATCAGTAACATTTTATTAGTTGATTACTTTTTGCTATCTATTACAGTAATTGGGATAAATTGTGTCAAAGAAAACATCCCATGACCACATCGAAGCTTTCTTACAGTGACAAATAGCAAAGTTTAGAGCTCAGAGGTCAAAATTATCTAATTGCTCTGAAAATTCAAGAAAATAGAAAATAATAATAGAACTAGGTTTTCCATTTGGGCGGGTGAAGAAGCGAGCTACCCGCTACCCACCCGGTGGGCTCCCACCCGCGGCCCCCGCAATTAAATGCGTGTGAATTTTAATAAAATTTTTTAAGGATAATCACGTATTTTCCAAGAAAAACTGAGTTTCTCAAATCAAAAAACTACAAAAAAGATAATATTTTCCTCACGTAAATATTCGCGGGGGGTCAACGGGGGGCCGCGGTTANAGGGTTTACGGTTCATTTGAGAGTTAAGGTATCCAAGATAAGAAGGGAATGTGCAAACTTCGATTACTGTACACCAGTTGAAATACACTTTTTAAACCAAAAATTGGTTGTTGATCTCTGGTACTTTCTCCAAGATCTTACTAGTCAGATTTTCTACTAAATCCCTGTGACTTTTCTTTTCAACTAGACATCATAATTTTCTTAACCATTCTACACATCATCTTGA